ATAATTAAATTGCCAATATCCTAGGGATATTAGCAGTGATACTCTGGTGGTGCAGTCCTAAAGCATTTGACTGCTAACCAGAAGGTTTGCAGTTCAAACCCATCAGCCACTCTGCAGGAGGCAGATGAGGCGATCTCCTTCTGTAAAGATTTACCACCCTAGAAACCCAATAGGAGTCACTATGAGTTGAAATAGACTCATTACCAGTATTTTATTTTTTATTTTTTTTAGTATCTTGGAGAAAGTATAACATAATTTGCATGCACTATTTTGTTTATTTCTGAAAATAGCTCAGTGACCAGGTGATGATAACTCCATTTTAAAGATAAGGTAACAGGCTCAGAATGATTAATTAATTTTCCAGACTGAATGAATGACGTAATGAATGAATCTCTATGGAAAACTGCATGGATTGAATGGATTTAAAGGTTGAGATAAAGAGAGGTCAATTTTTCAATCCATTTAGCAATGGAATTGCAGAGACTAAGCTACTCTGACAGTCACATGGGTTTATGTTTGGGGGTAGGATGCCGCTGAAGAACCAAAGATGACAATTTTAAAAGAAAACAAGAATGAATAACAGATGAAACATCATCATGGAATAGAAGAACAATGGTGAGTCAAATGGATAGTTAGGCATTCACCAGAAGAAATTAGCTCACAGATAAACTATTTGGCTCCTAGCATATTTTGAAAAGTTTTCTTAGACTACAATGCCCGTAAGTGGAGAACTTAGGAGAGATAGGTAAATAGCTACATTTATATAACTGATGAAAATGAAGAGGTATGGATTTTTTTTTAATAATTATTAAAGAAATGAAAACAATTGTGTAAAACCTTTCCACATAAGAGGCTCACCAGAACGTAGACTGTTTTAGATATGTGTTGACAATTTAAAACATTTTCAAACTTATACAAATTCTGTCAAACAATAGAAAATGAGGGCATCCTCTGCAACTCATTTTATAAAGGAATGTAATTTTGATTAAAAAAAAAAAAAAAGAGAGAGAGGTTGTATGAGAAAGAAAAATAGAAGTTTCATTGTGCTTATGAATATAGATGCCAAACTTCTAGAAAAGAATAAACAGTTCACAAAACAAATTTTCTGTAAAAATAATACACAATGACCAATTAGGTGACTGAAAAGATTCTAAGCATGTTTTAATAATGCAGAAGTATATAAATGTAGATCCGCACAGTAACAGAGAGTAGCCATGTGAACATCTCAAAAGGTGCAAAAATATTTAGCACTCATTCAAGATAAAAATTCTTACTACACTAGAAGTGGATGGGAAATTCATTAATAATAGTGTCAACCAGAAAAGAAAAAAAAAAAAAGAAAAGAAAAGAGAACACAATCAACAAATATTGTCCTAAATGGCAAAATGCTGTAAGTATTCCCTTTAAAACTAACAGAATATGTAAAATGAGAATATGTAAGATCAACATGTAAAATTACTATTTTTGTATACCTGCCTGCAAAAAAAAAAACATTAATATTAATGTCATTAAACATAGTTTAGAAACTGTTACAATATTAAGTAAACCTGTAAAACAACCAAGGATAAATTTAACAGAATATGTATAAGACTTGTAAGAAAAAATTAGAAGTTCTTATGAAGGACATTAAAGAATACCTAAATAAATTGAATCACCTCATTCTTATTAAAAAGAGAACATAATTAATATCATAGTCATATTTCTCCCAAAATTGATCTATAGTTTTAATGCAACTCCAATAAAAATTTTGATTTTTTTTTGTATTGGTTTTTATTTTCATAGAATGTGACAGATTAACTTTATGTAAAGAAACTGTTGTTTATAGAAAAGGAAAGAGAATATATTAACTATGATTCTTCAGTGGAAGAAGTAGCAGAGAGACATGCCCTATGCGTTATGAAGACTCATTATAAAGCTATAGTAATTAGAGGTACGTAATATTAGTATGAGGATGGACAAATCCATGAACAGCACAATACACAGTCCAAAAGAAAATGTACCCATATATGAAAATTTGACTTATGATGAAAAGCACATGTCTGAATGTTGAATTATTAGCAAATGGGAAGATGTAGTAAACAAAATAAACTGAAAATGAAAATGGTGCAAGATAGCCAAAAGAAAGGAAGAGAAAAAATATATATAGAGAGAGAGATAAGAAAAGTAAAACTGAACATTTTAAGAGAGAATATGTATCAATCCCTTTCTAATTTCTGAGTTAAGGAAACTTTCCTTACGCAAGACAGGCTAAAGTTCTAAAACTTATGGAAAGATTGATAAATGTGAACACATTGAAACTCAACCTGTTTTCATTAAAAGAAACATTAATGAGAATAGTAGAATAAGACTTTAGCTTCTAGAAAATATTGCAAAACATAAAATCAAGCGGGATTGAAAACAAGAACATTTAGAATGATACAAATCAACAAGTTATAAAACAGTAGGAAAAAAAAAAAGACGAAGACATGAAAAGCCATTTCACAACTGAAGAAATGCCTGAAATTAGAACTGTGACAATAACAAGTGTTAGAGAAGATGGACTTGGTGGTTTTTGAGGGAAACTATATGACTTTGTGTTGCAGAGTTGCACATTAGTATAATCTACATCAACAACAACAATAATCTACATCAAAAATAGCCATTGCCCATGCATTAGAAAGTATGTCCAAGAATGCAGCACTTTTTAGGAAAAAAATAAATAAATAAACAATACAAAGGCCTATTGCCATGGATTCTAAAGGTGTATTCACATAAATAGTTCAGAAAATAGTAGTAGAGATAAAAGGACATCAGCTACAACAGGAATGAATTTTGATAACAACGATAAGTGGAAAATGTGAAAAAAAAATAACAGTATGTTACTTATGGTATGTACATAATAGCCCAAAATTAAAAATAATGCTTACCTCTGTGAAGGAGAAAATGAGGTACTATGGGGAAATGCACACAGAGGTGTATATATTAGGTATAGGAAATGTTCTAGCTCCTGGGATGGTGTTTGCTATTCAAGTATTTATTATATTATACGTGATATAAACCAAAAACCAAACTCACTGTCACCGAGTAGAATCTGAATCATAGCAACCCCTCCTTGGGTTTCCGAGGGAGTATCTCTACAGAAGTAGATTGCCTAATATTCCTTCCGAGAAGTGGCTGGTGAGTTTGAACCACCAGCTTCCTGATTAGTAGTCAAATGCCTTAGGTACGATTGCCACCAGAGTTCCCATACATGATATAAGCAAAAATAAAAACAAAAAAATTGACAGTGGACTGGAAAAAGATATTTGCAACATATCTAAGTGTAAATATCTACAATACGGTACATAAGGAAATTCATGGAAGTTATATTAAATATTCATGTTTACATTCACGGTGGAATTTCAGGTGATTTTATATATTTTCTATTTTATGTACTGCTTGAATCATTTTGAGCACCTATTTTATTGAGGCTAATTTAAATGCAAACTTTCACTCATAATATGTAAAGAATTTCTAGAACAAAAATCAAACAACTCAAAGAGAAAAGAGAAGAAAGGGGTGCATCTTTTGAAAATGCAATTTACAGAAGAGGTCACACAATTTCAGGAAACTGAAATATGCTCTATCTCACTAGTAAACAAGGAAGTTCAAGTTTAATAATAATAATTAAAAAAAACCAAGATGCTGTCTTTCACTCATTGTTCAGAGTAATCAAAGATGTTAATATGTATAGTGTTTTGTAGGTGCAAGGAAATGGGACCTACATATTTTACAATAGGAGCCATTCAAAGGGCAATATGATAGTTTAAGTAGAAAAGTTCCCTTCAAGAAAATTAGCCTTCAAAAACACATACATATGACCTCAAAAATTAACTTCAAATAATGTTAGCTACATTTTTTTAAATTAATAGTGAATCACTGGAGATATTTTAAAAATTCAAAAAGAAAAAAAATGTATATCCTATATAACATTAATTTTTTATACATTATTATGTGAAATTATATGTGCTTACATAGAAAAAATGCTTTGCACATTTTAAGTTAAAAAAGAAAACAAGTAAATGTGCAGTATTTATAGCATGATCTCATTCATATTTGAAATTTTTGTGTAATAAAGATCTATGTGCATACATTATATATGAAAATGTTATAGAAATATATCTTGGATGATTGCACAATATGTTATCAATTGTTATCTCTGTGGCAGGGAATGGGGAAGTGGCCAATTCCAAATATTATTGTCATATTTGAATTATTTTATTATAAGAAAATAGGCATTTATGATTGTGTAAGTAACTGGCTGCTTTTACTTACCTTTGTGACTATTTCCAAGTTAGGTTGTATTAATAACCATGCTGAGTGTAGTGGCAGGAGAAATAGTGAGCATTTATTACCACGGACCCAGCAATTAGGCTTGAGTGTTCCTGGGTAGCAAACACTGTAGACTGGGTCAAAAGAGAAGGTTAATCCTGCTTCCTATTTGCAAGTTCTAAATCAGAATGAAATTGAATCAGTAAGGTAGTACTCCAACTACAGCCTGATCAGTTTCTCCTAGCATTGTAATAAGCAAAAAATTGTCAACGACTTTATGTATTTATTGATAAAATAGTTACATTTAAATAGGTCAAAAAATATTTTTTGTTTGATAAAAATTATTAAAATAAAGTGGTATCTGTCATTTTGAATTACATGAACTGTAGATCACATCTGGGAGAACATATTATCAAAAACTGTAACTTGTTAATTTTGCTTTTTGTACCTTAAAGATTATAGAAAAATAAAAAGTAAAATATATTCATTATAGCATCTAGAATGTATAATTACAAAATATATTTAAATTAAAATCCTAATAAATTCATTTTAGAATTTTATTAAATATTTTACAATAAAATCATTGAGAAATTTTATTGTCTTCATAAAACAAAAATTTATTTTATTGAATAAAATACTAAGACTATATAACTGAAAAAATCCTAATTTTAAAATGTCAGTCATATGCCATGACATACTTATTTTTGCAGGTTAAATTTTTTCCGTGATGTTCCTGACTTCCGAGTGTTGGCCTGTGGTGGAGATGGAACTGTGGGATGGATTTTGGACTGCATAGGTAATGAAGACAAATATTTAGCATGGCTGGGGTGAGAGTAGTAACCTTAACTTCTTTGCATTTTATTTATTTATTTTATTAATGCATCATTATCGACAGATGGTATAGTGATAGAATTGGGCACCCAGCATGTTGCACACTATTTTCTGGTTTAGTATATTCTTCTGTGTTTTATATATTTAGTTGAAATAATATTTTATAATATCTGAAAATTCTGAATAATTTCTCATAACACTTTTTAGGTCCTCAAAATTGTTTTCAGATTGGGTTCTACAAAATGCATTTGTTTCAATGTATAGAGAGCCAAAGGTTTTGTAGGTAGATTGGAAATCTTAGTGTTTGTGATAAAGAATATGTCAGGTATTTATGTTTGTTTTGTTTAATCATGGGAGCACTGCATCTAACTTTCTGTGCACATTCCCATCTCCATCATCATCATTGTCATCATTATCAATGCTAATTTATCAGATAATTTATTATCTGGCAGACCTTGTGCTAAGATTTTACCTCATCTTTTCATCTTTATCATTTTGTGTAATCCTCACAAATCAATGACAGAGATGTTATTAATATTCCCATTTAGGTATAGGGAATCTAAGGCTTGAGAAAGTTAACTAATTAAAACAGTCTTATGTGAATCAACTAATGGACCTGGGTTTAGAAACCAGACTTTTAACCTTATTCTCTCTCTCTCTCTCTCTCTCTCTCTCTCTCTCTATATATATATATATATATATATTTCAGTCAAACATAAAACTCTTCATTATTATAAACATTTTTATAAACAAACAAAACAGGTACATGATTGGAGGAAAAAGGTAGGCATGTGTTATACACACACTAAAAAAAAAAAAAAAAAACTTCATATATCAGAGAAAAGAACAAAATAACCTGAATTTCAGAGCAAATTCTGAACTGATTACTAGTTCAAAAAATAGATCATGAATAGTCTTTATACAGAGATCATTCCAAAATAAATGTTTACTTCCTTAGCTCTTTATTTCAGTTATTGCCTTGACCAATCCTGTTAAATATACACATATATATTTGTTGTTGTTGTTGTGTGCCATTGAGTCAGACCTGACTTCTCATAGCGACCCCTCCTTGGGTTTCCGAGGCGGTATCACTACAGATTGCCCAACCTTCCTTCTGAGGAGTGGCTGGTGGGTTTGTTTCAATTTGTATATATATATATATATATAAATTGAAAGAAACTTCATGTTTGTACATGTTGTCAGGGCACTTTTGGTAAGCATCAAACAGCTTAAATCTCGACTAATACTAAAAAAAAAATGGAACATGTTTCTAGGCTTTCCAAGAAAAGACATAAACAATATTTTTAAATTATATTAAGGGGAAAAACTAGAATTCAAGAATTGTTAAAATTAAGAGTTGGTTGAGAAGTGCCAGAGGACTTTGGTGATTTTAGGTAAAATAGTAGGTTGTTTTTGTACTTGTTTTAGCCTCTGAAATCGACACCTTGTCTGTTACACTGTGGTACCCCCACATAATCAGTGTAAACACACATACACATATTGACTTTGAGAGGCTCTGAGGAGGGAGAAGAAAAAAAAAAAAAGAAAGGAAAGAAAAGTAATATAATACATGTTTGTGGGATCCATTGAAGATGTGTGATGATTTTCACAAAAGAATTTCAGTGGCAGAGATCTTACTGCTCTGAACCCAAATCACTGTGTTATGCAAAGTTGAAAACCTGCTGATCTTGGTGTTACCCAACTCTTATGTTGTGGTCAATTTAGTCTGACACAAAGCAGCACTACAGGTAGAAACAACACTAAGGCATTAGTAGCAATTTATTCATATTTGGAATTCCACTGTTTTCAAAAGATTTTACTCTTTATAGTAAAATAAGGAGCTCTGGTGGTATAGTGGTTAAAGCATTTTATTGCTGAACAAAAGGTCAGTGATTTGTACCCACCAGCTGTTCTGTGGAAGAAAGATAAGGCAGTCTGCTTCTGTAAAGATTTACAGCTTTGGAGACCTACTGGAGGTTGCTATGAGTTGGAATTGACTCAATGGCAATGAGTTTGGTTTGGTTTAGTAATAGTAAAATACACCCAGAATTTAGAGTGCTAAAAGACTTTACATGAAATCTTACTCTCTACCCTGATAACATCCCCATATGTCTGTTTCTATGTTTCATTCCTGTGGGTTGTAATGAAGTTAAATAAATTCTGCCACAATTTTTGGCTGTTATTTATAAGGCTTTCTTCATATGAGTCTTGAAATCCTCTGCCACTTTGTCAATAATAGTATTTGTGTTTTATAAATTACTACAAATATATACAAATAATAATAATTCATAACCATATTTAAGCACATAAAAGACATTTTTTTTCTGTTTATAAGTACCTAATGAAATTGTTTCATTTAATTCCAGGCTGTGTTTTTTTGTTTTTTACTGTTTTTCTTCCTGTGCTCAAAATTTTCATTTAATTTTTCGTTTCCACAGAAAAGGCCAATGTAGTCAAGCATCCTCCAGTGGCTATTCTGCCTCTTGGGACCGGCAATGATCTAGCAAGATGCCTGCGGTGGGGAGGAGGTAAAGCATCTACAATAACAAAAGCTCAAAAAGTAGAAACACAGTCTACCTTTCTTCACTGAATGATAACCTCCACATGATTTTAGGAAATATAATTGCTGTCAGATATATAGAACGTAATTTTGTACAATAGTCTAGGAAGAGGAACAGATAGCAGACAGAGATAGACTGTGGGTGTTAGATTTTAATTTCATACTAATTAACTTGACCTTGGACAGACAAGTTTCCAAAACTCTCTAGTTTTTGGTTTTCTAGCTTGAAAAATGTGATAACATGGATTAACTTCGGGTTGACATTAGTCAAAATTGATTGGATGGTAACTGGTAAATGTTCAGATGTTTATTCTGTGAGCTGTGTGGTAAAACCACAAGGAAAAAAAAAATGAAAAACTAGTGAATGACTTGCCTAAGAGTACATTAATTAATTCTTTTTTTTTTTTTTTTTTTTTGACACACACTTTATGCATGGAGGATTTCTATGGACTTGAGATACAGGGTGGGAAGACAAAAAAAAAAAAAAATCTGCCCTCAAAAGAACCTTATAATTTGATGTGATGTAAAGTCATATGTAGGAGCTCTGGGAGCATAGTGCCTAAGACACTTGACTGCTAACCAGAAGGCTGGTAGTTCAAACCCATCAGCCACTCCTCAGAAGGAAGGTTGGGCAATCTACTTCCATAGTGATACTGCCTCGGCAACCCAAGGAGGGGTTGCTATGAGTCGGGCCAACTTGACCGCACAAAACAACAAAAAAGTCATGTAAATTGTGAGACTTTCTACTAACAAGTAAATATACAAGTGACTAAAAAAATAATGAAAGACTAAGGAGATAGTAAATGAGGTGAAGACTAATGACTGGATAATCAGACAGTTACATACAACTAGGGGTGGACTTATAGGCAAAAGACATATCAAATTCGAGGGACCAGAGGTGGTAAGGTCTTTGACATGTTCAAGAAACTGAAAGTGGAAGACTGTGGCTGGAGCAGGGTGAGTACTTTATTCACATTGGGAATTCAACTGTTTTCAAAATATTTTATTCCTTAAACTAAAATTTGAATATTTTCATGTGAGGTCTTAAAAATATTTTTGGGAATCACTGATAGGCTTTGCTTACCTGAAGATCACCGAAGAAAAAGCCTGTTTACTAAAGAAGTAGGAATTGAATGTTAAGTATTTTTGGTATCTAAACTCAGAAAAGTTTGGAAAGTATCTACTAATGCAATGACAATCAGCCCTTGGGGAGCTTGTTAAAAATACAGTGGCTGGATCCTGCTCTAAATAAATTGGATGGAATTCCCTGGGCAAGTGATTTTCTTTTCAAATGAACTCTTTAACACTAATTTACAACCAAGTTTGAGAACCATTGTTCTATGGATGTCTGACCAACTGATGAACTGTAATCTGTGTATACATTAGACAGGCAGATTTGGAGATACTACAGTTAAAAGCTTTTATATAACTTTTTTGGAATTTCAGTAAGGATATAATTAAATAAGAGTATTACGAAATATCGAGCTATATCCTGGAATCTAGAGTTAAACAGATAAAAATGTAATCATTGCTTATGAGATGCTTGTATTTGCCAGTGTCATACAAGGTACTGATTCAAACAAAGGGAAACATGCATGTATCATCTTGTGTATTTTTTCTGAATTTTTTTTTTTTTGATATTTGAAAATAAACATTTTTACTTTTGTCTCCAAATTAGCAAATGGCTTAAATCTCAAATTTGTAATAGAAATTCCATTTTTAGCATATTATAATCATACTATTATAAAACTAATAGAGTAGTATGTAATGCTTTTCTTATTATAAAAGCTATTCATGTTGTTATTTAAAGGCATAAGAACTGTAGTATATGTCAGAGAATATGCTAAGGATGAATTCTCTAGTATGTACTGACATTGATCTAGGTGCTGTATTCTATGTTTTTGGTAGCTGCTGTTGAATTGATTCCTATGCATAGTGACCATATGTACAACAGAATGAAACACTACCCAGTCTGGCGCCATCTTCAAAATCATTGCCATACTTAAGCCCATCATTGCAGCCACTGTTAATCCATCTCATTGACCCTCTACTTTACCAAACATGATATTGTTCTCCTGGCACTGCTTCCTTTGACAATATGACCAAAGTACAAGAGCTGAAGTCAGGCTGTACTCGTTTCTAAGGAACATTGCAGATGTACTTTTTCCATGACAGGTTTGTTAGGTCTTCTAGAAGTAGATCCAATATTTTTTACCAACACCGCAATTCAAAGACATTGATTCTGCAATCTTTCTATTCATATAGAAAGCTCTAATATATGAGACTACTGAAAATACCATGGCTTGGCTCAGGCACACCTTAATCTTCGAAGTGATATTATGCTCATTAACTTTTCAAAGAGGTCTCTTGCAGACTTGCCCAAAACAAATCATTTGATTTCTGGACTGCTGATTTCCCTGGGTATTGATTGGATCCCACTAAAATGAAATCCTTGACAGCTTCAATCTTTTCTCTGTTAATCACGATGTTGCTTTTTGGTCAAGTTGTGAGGATTTTTGTTTTCTGTATGTTCAGGTGTAATCCATACTAAGTCTTTGATCTTCATCAGTAACTGCATTAAGTCTTCACTTTCAGTAATCAATGGTTTGTCATCTGCATATCAGATTGTTGTTGAGTCTTCCTTCAATTCTGATCCCATGTCCAGCTTCTTGGAATATTTTTCAGCATAGAGAATGAATAGTATGGTGAGATGATACAACCCTGACACACATCTTTCCTGATTTTAATCATGTAGTATCCTCTTCTGTTTGAACGACTGCCTCTTGCTCTTTGTATGTGTTTCTTATGCACACAATTAAGTGCTCTGGAGTTCCAATCTTCACAATGTTACTCATAATTTGTTATGATCCACACAGTAAAATACCTTTGCATAATCAGTAAAATATAGGTAAACATCTTTCTGGTATTCTTTGATTTCAACCAAGATCCATCTGACATCAGCAATGATATTCCTCATTCCATCCACTCTTCTGAATCTGGCTTTAATTCTTGGCAGCTCCTTGCTGACGCACTGCTACAAACATTTTTGAGTTATCTTCAGCAAAATCTTACTTACATATGTATTAATGATATTGTTTGATAATTTCTGCATTCTGTTGGATTACTTTTCTTTGTCATGGGCACAAATAAGTATCCCTTCCAGTTGATTGGCCAGGTAGCTTTCATCCATTTGTTGAAACATCTCAATGGGGTATTTCATTAATTCCTGGAGCCTTCTTTTCATCAATTCCTTCAGTGCAACTTGGACTTCTTCTTTCACTACCATTAGTTCTTGATCATATGCTACCTCTTGAAATGGCTGAACATCACCCAGTTCTTTTTCTCACTGTGACTCTGAGTATTCCATCTTCTTTCAATGTGTCCTGCATCATTTAATCTTTTGTCCACAGAATCCTTCCATATTGCAAATCGAGGCTTGAAATTTTTCTTCCGTCCTTTCAGCTTGGAAATGCTGAGCATGTTCTTCCCTTTTGATTTTCTGACTCCAGGTCTTTGCACATTTCATTATATTTTATTTTCTCCAGTTTCCCTTTGAAGCCTTCCCTTCAGCTCTTTTACTTCATCATTTCTTCCATTTGTTTTAGCACTCTCCATTCAAGAGCAAGTTTCAGAGTCTCTTCTGACATCCATTTTGTTCTTTTTTTTCCTTTCCTGTCTTTTCAATGACTTTTTGCTTTCTTCATGTAGGGTGCACTTGATATCATCCCACAACTCATGTGGTCTTCAATTATTGGTGTTCAGTTTGTCAAATCTATTCTTCAGATGGTCTCTAAATTCAGGTGGGATACACTTAAGGTATTTTAGCTGTCATAAACTTGTTTTAATTTTCTTCAGCTTCAACTTAAACTTGAATATGAGCAATTGATGATCTGTTCCACAGTCAGCCCCTGATGATATTAAGCTTCTCCATCATCTCTTTCCACAGATATAGTCTATTTGAATCATCAGTGTATAATACTTGTTTCTGTTGTTGAAATAGGTTATTTTCAGTGAATAAACCATTGGTCTTGCAAATTCTACCATGCAATCCATGGCATCATTTCTGTCACCAAGGCCATGTTTTCCAACTACCAATGCTTATTCATTATTTCTAACTTTCACCTTCCATCACCAGTAATTATCAATACATCTTGATTGTGTGTTTGATCAGTTTCAGACTATTGTTGTTGTTATGTGCCGTCGAGTCGGACACGGCTCATAGCAACCCCTCCTTGGGTTTCCGAGGCAGTATCACTACAGAAGTATATTGCTCAATCTTCCTTCTGAGGAGGACTGGTGGGTTTGAACCACCAACCTTCTGGTTAGCCTTCAAGTGCCTTACGCACTTTGTAGGGGTATGGATATTATTCTATCACTGACAACATTGTACTTCAAGATAGAGGTTGAAATGTTCTTTTTGACAATGAATGCATTACCATTCTTCTTTAATTTGTTATTCCCAGAAGAGTAGACTATGCGATTTTCTGATTCAAAATGTCAGTACCAGTCCATTTCAGCTCACTAATGCCTAGGATATCAATCTGGATTGTATAATGAGGAAATAAATAAATGGCTTCCACTCTTTTTGATATTATGTTTTCATTGAATAGAACAATAAAATATGTAATTACAAATGGAGATCAGAGCTATGGAAGAGTCAAAGAGTGCAGTTATAATAAACATCAGTAGAGAACTCCTAAGCTACAGTGGTCAAGGGAGTGTCTCTGAGGACATAAAATTTAAGTGGGACCCAAAACATAAGAAGGAAAGAGAAAAGTTCTTGTGTTGGAAAGACTGTGTAAAGACTTACTGAAGCAGTCGTGTGGTAGTAGTAGATATTATGGGGAGTGAGGGGTTTGCATAGTATGCTTTTGTGGAGATAATCAGGAACAGATAATGCAGGGACTTGTTATGTTAGGAATGTTATTTACTTGGATTTGAAGTATAAAGTGGAACTTTGAATTTGTTTCAGAAACAGTGCCATAATGGTATTTATGATTTCAAAAATGTATTTAAATTGTTAAGTGAGAAATAAACTGGTGAGGAAATGTGAACATGTGGAGAACTATATAGTTTTCCACATGAGAACTTCTGTAATTATCCTAATTAGAGGTTTAAAGGCCAAGACTACTCTCCTGTCATTCTCATTGTAGTCTAGTCCATTCTGACTCATAGCAACTCTGTAGGAAATGCAGAGTTGCCCCATTGGGTTTATAAGACTAATCTTTACAGAAGCAGACTACCATATCTGTCTCCCAAGGAGTATCTAGGAGTATCTGTTAGATTTGAACCTCTGACCTTTCAGTTAGCAGCTGAGCACTTAGCCACTTCTCATTAAAGCATGGGGCTAATATAGCATTAACACAAATGAAGCCAATAGACAAATTGGAGGTATGCTGTTGAGGATAGAACTGATAGAATTTGCTAGTGGATTGGGAAGATGATTTGGGGAAAGTGAAGTATCAAGGGTAATGACAGAATGTCCATGTTGAGCAATTAAGTAAATGAAAATGCAATTTGCCAGAGTTTACTAGCAAAGAAAGATGCTCCGGAGTGTGATTATTTCTTCCAAGGTGTATAACTTTAAGCAAGTTTCTTAATCTGTATGTGCTCCAGATTTCTTTTCAGAATTTGGAGAAAATAATAGTGCCTGCCTTACATAGTAGTAGTAGTAATTATGCTTAAAATGTGTGAAAGAAAGTAATTTATTCAAACAATAATCATTTGGTCCATTTAAGTTAGTGGAATATATAACTTTGAAACATCTTTTAGCAAGAAAATATTTTCATATTTTGGGAAATGTAGCATTATAAGAAGGTAGTATATCCTAGGCCATTTAAGAAATACTTCATTTGCATTCATCTTGCAATTTTTTCCAGCAATAATTAGTCTCTCTGGCAGAAATTTAGGGAGCTCTAGTAGCGTAGTGCCTAAGGCACTTTGGACTGCTAACCAGAAGGCTGGCGGTTCAAACCCACCAGCCAATCCTCAGAAGGAAGGTTGGGTAATCTACTTCCGTAGTGATACCACCTCGGAAACCCAAGGAGGAGTCACTATGAATCAGTTCCGACTCAATGGCACATAACAACAACAAGAAGCAGAAATTTAAAGATTATTGCAAGCAAAACCCTGATTTTTGTAAAGAGTAAAAAGCCAGGGATTTAAACAGAGGATTTAAACATCTGTTGACATATTTATTGTTTCTTTTCTCTATCTGATTTCATTTGTTAGAAATTTCTGAGTTTCTAGATAGACTCAGCCATTATGACAACATCATACCATTATAAATAAAATGATTAGTAATTGTACTTTTATTTTGTTTCTTAACACAGAATGATTATAGACTCAAATCAAACAGTAGAAGCAATATATCACCATTCATTTGGGGGAAGTAAGCTTATGCTTATATATTTAATGTGGATTTTTCTTTGTTAAATTCTGATTTTCTTGAGTTCAAGAGTTTCATTAATTATCATGTGTCACTATTTAAGAAGCTTGCATATAGATACATACAAAGAAGTAGAGCATAGGTAATTGTGAAATGGAGGGCTGTAGTTTGGAATTCTTTATCTTTGTGAATTAATTCTGGATTATATTTGATTCTCAAAATAGAATTATTCAGTGCATATCTGATTCTGATTTACTTGGCTAGAATGATGATTGATAGCAGAGTTTTTTATACTTTGTCATAAAAATCTTTGAAAATACATCCAATGGTAAAGATCTTAAGCTGAGGAACCCTACTACTATCTTGTTGTTGTTGTTGTTATGTGCCGTCGAGTCAAACCCGACTCATAGCGACCCCTCCTTCATGTCAGAAAACTATCATGCTTATTTTTAAACAATAGTGGAATTTGAAAAATAAGCAATATACTTAAATGTTTTTTAGTTAATTTCCTTGGCCAAAAATTATGAAATAAATTTGGGGGCTGTTTGTTCTCCTTAAAATAAATAAAATGTTAAGAAAAATAATACATTGAGGATGAAGGTAGAATTATTAAGAAACACCTGAAATATAAGTAATTGGTAATTCTTTTAGTTTTATATTTAACCATTCAATGTTTTGACAATGACTATAATTATACATATATATGCATATTATTTTTAATATTCATAGATCATGTGACATACCTACTAAAATAATAATTAATGACTTTTATTGTTTTTTTCCTCTGTACATTCATTGTTAATTATCTTCTTTACTATCTTTAATTAATAATGCATATATATATTTTTAACCTCTAAGATATGAACTGGTAATTGGTTGCAAAAGAGCTATTTATAGTCTGGATACTTAGCACTCTAATAGTTAATTGAGCAAATACACCTTAAATGTAATTTATTCTTTTTACAAAATATTATCATATTAGAGTACATATTCTTCATTCTTTTTCAAAGGAGAGAAATATAAGTTATAAATTAAAGCTAAAAATAGAAGAATGAGTATAAGAAAATTATAGATGAGTTTTTATCTTGTGCTACTACTTGCTTAACAATTTTATTTTTTGGTTTTAGAATGATACATGCATATACATATGTTCAAACATATGTAAACACACCATTTGTTAGTTATATATTTTTCTCAAGATTTTTTTTTTCCACTAGGTTATGAAGGTGAGAACCTGATGAAAATCCTAAAAGACATTGAAAACAGTACAGAAATCATGTTGGACAGGTGGAAATTTGAAGTCATACCTAACGACAAAGATGAGAAGGGAGACCCAGTGCCTTACAGCATCATCAATAATTACTTTTCCATCGGCGTGGTAAGATTTTCCACTAAATGTTGTTTTTTACTTGTCCTAGATAATTGCTATATGTCAATCATAAAACTATGAAAATATACTGAATATATTTTAATTAATTTTTCTTTGTGTCAGCTAAACATTTCTTCTAATGAGTGATAATAAAGCTTATTAATTTATTTAAAGTGTTTTAGCAGAGGGAAAAGTTTTTGTATATTAAACAAAGGAAAGAAAGTATTTTTTTTTGTGATTGTTTTAACCATCTGTGTTGCTAAAATGAAGCTTAAAAGGATTTATTACAATATAGTTATAAGCTTGAAAGTGTAAGTTAATACTCTATATTAGTGAAAATGTGAAAACATTGAAATTAATTTTAACTTACTTTGATATCCTTATCATAATGTCATATAACTTACTGAGTTTTTACATATAGGCATCATTTTTAAATTTTTGTTAAATCTAAAGTCTACAAAAGATGCTACTACTCTCGTGATTAATAAGTCAAAAGGGAGACTTTTCACTTCATTTCTATTAGAAACTTATAGTAAAAGTAAAATATCATTTGGCAATTGAGTTATGAAAATTTTCATCATTAAGGAATTAACAACATTACCAGTTATTGTGTATATATTTTAGACACTAATTATGAATTCTAAAAATATATTATCTACAACATTACATTCATTTTAATATTTTACTCATGAACTTGATTCCATGAATTTAGAAGTCAAGCTACCTGAATAAGAAAACTAGTTCTGAGCCTTTGAGCAATTTTTTTATTCTGAATTGTTTTGCTTTGTTTTTCTAACTTATCTGTACCATGATAGTTATCATTTCTTTCTTATATAATTGTAATATGATAGTACTGTAAAAGACCCTGAAAGAGTGGTCCATAGTGAAGGCAAAATTACTGTTTTTTTTTTAATATAGTCACAATTATTATTTGTAAGAAAAATGTGTATTATACCTTGGTCCATGTAAGTTACTTTATTTATATTAATATGAATAATAGTATTTTAAGGAGATCTAGTGGTATAGTGATAAAGCACTTGACTGCTAACCGAAAGATTAGCAGTTCAAACCCACCAGCTACTCTGTGGAAGAAAGAGGGGGCAATCTATTTCTGTAAAGATTTATAGCCTCAGAAACCCAAATGGGGTTGCTATGGGTCAGAAATAACCCAATGGCAGTACATTTGGCTTGATTTAAAAGTATTTTAATAGCTTTATTAGAGTATAATTTACATACAATTTAATTCATATATTTTAAGTGTACCTTTTAATGATTTTAATCAATTTATTTAATTTTAGAATATTTTTATCAAGAAAAAAATGAGCCCTTATGCCCATTTTTAATCAATGCCAGTTCCTTCTTCCAGTTCCAGACAACTAATCTGCTTTCTGCCTCTAAAATTTTCCTTTTCTCAGCAATTCATATAAAAGAAATTATACAATATGTAGTCTTTTGCATTTGGATAATTTCATTTAACATAATGTTTTTTTCCTATGAAAAATATCAGTAGTTTATTATTTTTTATTTCACTGTATATATCACCTATTTATCAACTCACCAATTGATGAGTATTTGAATTGGTCCTAGCCTTTGCCTATTTATGAATAATGCAAGTCTTAATAGAGTTAATTTTCCTAGTGAATTTTTTTGCTTTAATTATGGTACTTCCACTCCAAAATTTACATTTAGTTATTTTATAGTTTCTTTCCCTGTATTGGTATTTTATATTTAGTAAGTTATCATGATCATACTTTCCTTTATTCTTTAAATATGATTTCCTTTAATTCTTTTGAAAAGTTTATAATCACTGCTTTAAATTCTTTCTCTGCTAAGTCCAACATCTGGGCTCTATCAAAGACAGTCTTTATACTTGATTTTTTTTTCCACATATGTTTCTAAGTATGTCTTGTACATTTATATTTTTTAGCATACCTTGTAACTTTTGGTTGAAAATTGGAAATTGAATATGTAATATATTATAACAACTAAGGATATGGGTCCTCTGATAGGGATTATTTTTGTTCCCTTGTTTGTTCAGTGACTTGCCTGCACTAATTCCGTGGAGTTTCTCTTCCCTGCAGTGTGTGAATTCTGATGTTTTTGCTTTTTCTGTTTGTTTAAACATTTGACCCATTAAGACTTTGTTCCTTTGACATTGTATCTGTTGTTTTGTTTTGTTTTTTTGGAGAACACATGTACAGTGTTGAAGTCAGTTTTAGTTTTTACTCTCTGCCAGCACCTCTTGCATCTGTTCTGATGACAAAAGACCTCACATTTAGCCAAGGATGTATGGATAATTAGAGTCCTCTTTAGTTTCTTCTGAGAGTGTGCAGTCATGCACATGCATACAACCTTCTATATTGATAAGCAATATGTGTAAGCTTATCAAGGACCTTTATGGCTGTCTCATTTCCTAGATCTTCCTGTTTAATGTCTGGCTAGTTTGCTGTTGGTTGTTTTCCTAAACACTTTTGCAAACTCAGGATAGCTTTAATATTGGCCTACTTCAAAATGAGTAAACAAAAATATGCTAGTATACTAGAGAATAGTATGTTAATAGTATTTAAACTCACTTTATTTTATGAAGGAGAAAATATCAGTTACTTTGGCAATTCATTTAAGAGAACCTCAATTAAACTAACTACTCTACTGGAAAATTATCCTGGTTGCCACAGGGAGAATGATGTAGAGGTTTATAAAGTGGAGGTAGAGACTAGTTTAGAGTATCTTCTGGTAGAGCAAGAGGAAGGTTATTGTGAAATAAGAGATGCATAGCTATTAGAAAATTGGACATGCTTAATATATGCATTCAAATTTGAATTGACAAGATCTAGGGAGTGAAAGGTAAGGAAGTATCAATACTAATCCTGAGATACTGCAATTTAACAGTTAAGTTTTGCCAGTTATTGAGATGGAATTGATTGTAATTGACACAGAAAGAGGATAAAAAGACACTCTGTATTTCAGATGTAAATTAGTGGAAATGACAGGGCCATGCTGAATATTTAAGTTTAGATATAAGAAGAATGTCTCAACTGGAGATAAATTTAGACTCACTGGCATATTTATTGTTTATCTATGGCAGCATAGTACATCATCCTAAATGTTGTGGCTTAAAATAACAATTATTTTATTATTACTCACAAATCTGCAGGGCATTGAGTTTATGATAATGGTGGTGGGATATTTTGGAAAACAATAGCAATAATGGTGGCACAACATGAAAAATGTCATCAGTGTTCCTTATGGGTGGTGAATGCAGTAATGGATGATATAATATCTCTCTTCCTACCCTCTGTATATGGAGTATAACCAAACTCACTGCCATCAAGTCAGTTCTGACTCATAATGACCCCTTCTTGGGTTTCTGAGGCAGTGAGTTTGGTTTGGTGTGTAAAACTTATAGACAACAGTTACAGATGTAGGATATAATGGCTATGTCTGGAAAGCATTACTTGGGAAGACAAAGAAAAGAAGTTTAATTGAAATTTGATTAAAGCAAATGTGCAAGAGCAAATTGAATACATTTAAGTGATAAAAGAGATAAACCAAACTTTCAGGAAAATAATTGTAAGAGTATTCTGAATACTTTAATAAATTATAAATATATAAAAACCACAAAAAAACCAAACTCACTGCCATTGAGTCAGATCCAACTCATAGCAGCCCCTCCTTGGGTTTCTGAGGCAATATCACTGTGGAAGTAGATTGCCCAACCTTCCTTCCAAGAAGTGGCTGGTGGGTTTGATCTGCCAGCCTTCTGGTTAGCAGTCATATGCCTTAGGCACTATGCCACCAGAGTTCCCGTAATTATATAGGGACTGTAAATATGTGTTGTCGTCATTATTGTTATGTGCCATCGAGTCATCTCCAACTCATAGTTCCCCCTCCTTGGGTTTCCAAGGCAGTATCACTACAGAAGTAGATCTTCCAATCTTCATTCTGAGGAGTGACTGGTGGGTTTGAACTGCCAGCCTTCTGCTTGAGGCTTTTTTGTTGCTTAATTGTGATTTGGGTGAAAGTTTTCAGAGCAAATTCACTTTCCATATAGCAATTCACATACACTTTGTCTTATGACATTGACTACAATTTACCCCCATGCTACAGCTCCCCTCCTGCTTCCTCCCCATAGTTACCTCTTCCCTGTATGCATTCCTGCCCCCTGAGCTAGCTCCCTGTGCATAAACAGCCCTTCTTTCTCCCATGATTGTTCTCTCCAAGGAGTGTATCTACCTCAGGTAAATGTTCAACTCATATGCCTGCCTTTTGTTTGGCTGGAAGCCACAGGTATGGGTTCAATTCCAGACCTGAAGAGCAGCTAGGGGCCATAGTTTCAGTCGTTCCACCAGGCTCTATCAGACCAACAAACATGGCTCCCCCCTTTTTCTATTTGCAAATGATTTTGAGTTTTGTTCCACATTGTTCTTCCTCTTTATCCATGATCTACTCCATACATCCCCCTCTGAGTGGCTGACAGTGGTAGCCAAGCACCATTTAGTTCTTCTGGTCTCATAGTATTTAGGCTGCTGATTGCATGTTGTACCAGTCTCTTGGACTAATTGTTTCTAAGAATCTTTGGTTTTCTTCATTCTTCTTAAACTGCCAGCCTTCTGGTTGACAGTCAAGTGCCTTAGGCACTATGCCACCAGGGCTCCCATTTAAATGTATTGTTGTTGTTGTTGTTGTTATGTGCCGTCGAGTTGGACCAGACTCATAGTGACCCCTCTTTGAGTTTCTGAGGCAGTATCACTACGGAAGTAGATTGCCCCATATTCCTTCTAAGGAGTGGATGGTGGGTTTGAACCGCCAGCCTTCAGATTAGCAGTCAAGTGCCTTAGGCACTATGCTACTAGAGCTGTATAGGGAACTTAAATAAAAGCTTCTCTGACCACAGTGTAGTAAAGCTCCAAATAAAATAAGTGAAAAATATAAAAATAAACATATTGAGGCAATTTAAACATTTCTAACAAGCATTATTCAAAATAACTTTCCACTTAAAATGGAAATAA